AAAAATTAAGGAGTTTTAACAAAACACTTCATTTACTATTCACTTTTAACAAAAAATCACATTTTTACCTTTTTCTGGTATCATTCACTACACATTTATTTGTCATTTTTTATTAGAACTAAAGTTTTTTTTTTTTTTTGAATTTTCATTAGTTTTCCTTAAAAATTAATGAATGAGGCTGGCATAATTACATACAAGATAGTATGTGACAAGTGAGAGCTCTGCGACTCCCCACTTTAACAAACAAAAAAAAATAGAGAATTCATTTGGTGACGAGTAATACTATACTTATTATATATTTTTATCATCTTTCTGATAGAGATATAGTTTATTAACATATGTGAATCATATTTTTATTAGAAAAATAATACAAATATATAGTAAGAATAACATTTTTATTTGATAATAATGTAATCATGTCTCTTTGTGCTTTTAAGTTGAACTTGCATGCTGTTCAGTTCATCCCCTTCTTTTCCGCCTAAATTATCATGATTTTTTGTACTTTGCAGTAGGAGAAAGTCTTTACTTTGTCAGGTAGTAATAAATGGTCAAAGAAAGTGGCCAAGAAAATAAATATGTATCTTTAAACTTTTCTTCCCAAAAAGGGAAGACGGAAACGCATTGTCTTTTCTGCGGTGAACTATACATTTACTTCTGTTAGTTGCCTTAAGTTCTTTTTTTGGTAAAGTTAAGAGTGTTTTTGGCATTCCAAAACAGTCATTTTGTATTATAATTTTTTTTTTATTTTGACGAAAATACAATTATGAAAAATACAAAATGACTTTTTTTTTCGAGTCTCAGTAATCTCTCTCTAAGTTAATTTCTTTTATTTAAAAAAAAAGATATCAGTTGGTGGCTTAGTCACGACTTTCTAACTGTAAATTATAATTTTCCTTTTTTTAATGGTTATGTGTGATCCTTTTGAAAGTAATAGCTTTTAACAAGAATTAAAGCTAAAGTACCAAACTTTAGAGGTGAAATTATAATTTGGGTTATTTTCTTAATCGCTTAGTCCCCATAATACCAATTCTTGCAGTAAGCTAGGTTTCCGTATATAGTTAGTTACTAAGGTTAGCAATCAAAACCATATGCATCAAGGTAAAACAGTGGATTGCCTCGATGAATAACGCATTCTTTTTTAACTCACCACGGTTTAGGTTCTGATCATTTCATTTCCACTTCTATTAATATAGTTTAAAGTAGTAAAATGGTAAAATCAACTATAATAAGAAAAAAAATATAATTGGATAAAGAAAAGAACGTTTGTGGCTTTAATGGTACGTAGCACTCAGTGTTACAAGTATTTTAGTTATTATATTTCATTTCTACGGTATTTTATTTTAAATCTCAATCGTTTATTTTCGCACCACTTAGTAACATGCATTATTAAGGAAAAATTAGAATGTCATTACATCTATTCCAAAATTATTATCAAGATGGATGCCTCAAATAATATTTCTTCTTCCATCATATTTGTTGGCAATGCAACTTGGGTTGGGTTAACTCGAATTTTCTTATGTCCAACCAGATTTCAAACTTGACCGAACATGTTAGAATGAACTACAAACTCGCTCAAACTTGATCATTTACTGGGTTGGGTTGATGTTTTACCCTTCGATATCAACTCAAATTCAACCTGATTTCTACACAGAATTCACTCATGCATATATAACTCGTCCCATTTCATATTATATAAGCTAGGTACAAGTTTGGGAGGGCTGTACTTGCAGCTTGTTGTTTGGTTTTGATTTGACAATGAATGATGTTGTCTTTACAATTTTATTGAAACTTTGGTATTGTCTTGTAATTATATTTCAATTTCGCATGGTTGAAATTTGTTTCCATGCTATTTGGTTTAACTTTTGCATGGATGATAATGTGCAAAAATTGAATTTAAACAATTTTATCAAAATTTGAAAAATCATGTTAAATAATGTGTTACGAAATTAAACTTGATGAAATTGAGAAAACCCAAATCCCATGAAAGTAGACCCAATTAAAAACTCAGGTCCGAATAAACTTGCATGAATTCAAACTCAACTTAAGCCTAATTTGAAAATGTTAGGTTAGAATTGGATTGACCATCTATCCGGTCTAACCCACCGAATTACAACCTTAGTATTTGTGCTTCACTTTCATGTTTGAGTCCACATCACGTTACCATTGCAAATTCAAAATTGGTACTAACTGCATCCGCATAGGTGGTGGTCAAACCGTTCTTTTACAACTAATCCAACGGCCATCACCCTATATCCACAGAGAAATGTTAGCTGAGGAGACGACACGTGTCCTCATGGTTATAGAAGCGATAAAACGACGTTCAAAAGCGACTGAACATTCAATAGAAGAGAAGAGGTCTTGGATCGGAAAAAGAAGTGATCTGGGCCGTCTATCCCGCCCCGGGGCCCGCAAAATCAACTAAACCAGCGGGAAGTAGTTGTGTTGTGCCCCATTTGGTGGGAAGGAGAAGGCTAGTTTAGTTTACGAATTTGACCTTAGGACCAGGAGAGAATAACCACGTTGGCATTAGTTTGTTGATGAAAATGAATTTTCACGTGAAAGGAAAAGATGCGAAATGAAAACCAATTTTGACATGATTACCTGAATGAGTTACATTTACTTAATTGATTGGTTATACCAAATATGAACTTTTCAACCTTTTACTTTACGTAATTCCAAATTTTTGTTTTCTTTAGTGGTTGGAAATTAACATTCATATATTATTTTATATTTTTGTGTTGAACAAACGATATGAGCTAGTATAATGTCGTTCAAATTCGTATTTGACGAGAATTGGACCCAAGAGCATTCTTAGTGAGGGGCTCTATATGGTGCTAGAAAAGTGGTGGATATATCTCATTTTAGAGCTCTGATGAATTTTTGGGGCTTTATAAAAAAATCTCTTCCAATGAAGGGTTATATCTTTCGGTATATATATTTATGTAGTAATTTGATTAAGCAATAATTTTTATTTGTGTTAGCTCTTCTTAAGTTGATTTTTGAACGTGCTATCTTAATTTTTTTTTTTTTTTTTTTTTATGAACCCTTCAACCAAAAAAATTCAAATTGTGATAAAGTTAGATTTTATCACTTATGAATCGTTCGTTGGATTAGATTCTCTTATCTCAAACTCATCCGTTGAAAGAAACAAACCCCCATTTCGTCCTCTGAAATAATTTAATTTTCACGTATAACACAACAATTTACCTAGCACCAATTGGTAAATTAGGATCATACAATTTTGAAAAAAAAAATTATTTGAAATTTTCACCCATCAATGCCCATGAACGTTAAATCAATTTGAAATTTTAATTCTTATGAAATTTAAACAATCATTAATTAGCCAAATTGCAAGAAAAATAAGTAAGAAAAAAGAATTAAAGTAATAATAAAAGTAGAGTATAAGTGTATTCGCAAGTGGAGGGAGATTGATAGAATTTTGCTCACATGGGTTGCTACTTTTTTTGTGGGACCTACTATTTTTTGGGGCTAGATGTAGCCTGATTTTATGTTACTCAAGAAAGAAAGTTGCTCGCTAAGGTTGGACATGTAGTAGCCTCATGGAGAATAAAGCCCCTATTGGGGATGCTCTAACACATCTCACTTACAAGTGAAGAAGAATACCACGAGGACTAGATAACTTTGTTTGTTAAGTGTAATATGTACATTTTGTATTGTGATGAGGAATAAATTACTTTCTTTGTAAAATGTACTGCTACCGGTGGAAGAAATTATAACGGAGATGATGATGGTGGTGGGAGTAAGACAAATGACTTAATGATGGAGGCGATGTGCAAGAATATGATGGAGTTACATACTTGAGCCCATTTATCGGCGAAGATGTCTTTACTCATGTCACCCATGATTAGTGTAGAGAAGCGGGTTAGGCATTGGTGCAGTTGGAAGTACTAGGCAGGAAGGTCTAATCAAAATGAAAGATGAAGATTTACTATCAGTGTTATGCATTCATTATGGTTTAGTTTTTTCTTTCTTTATGGTATTAGTTTAATTCAATAAGACTTGTGTTGCTTTCATGATGAAAGTTTCAATTATGTTATGTATAATTTATTCATTCTAATGAGATGCTTAATTGTATTACTTGTCATTAAAAAGATATTTTTCTTCTCACAAATCACATACTTATTTTTACATAGTATTTAATCATTAATTCTTAATTCATACATATGACATTCCCTAAAACATCATTTTAAATTTTCACATTTTTGAGCAATTTTCCATAATTTCCATCGTAGGCAACCAATATTGATTTCTATATGTCCATAAATATTTTCACAAATTTGTAGATCAATATTTTCACCGATACAGATATTTTAAATATTGAAAATAACGAGTTCGCAACCGATTTATTCCCTACATTTTTAGTGTAAATGTATCTTTGTTCAAAACTTGGATTAGGACCATTTATAACTAATTTTATCAAATTTGTAATTTGGACAATATAGGCAAACTCTCGAACCCGTCCATGCCTAACCCTAATTTTGTTAGAAATTAAGTATGTCATAAATATAGCAATTAGATCTCAATTTTTTCACCAATTTCATCCCTATCATATAATAAAACGTAAGATACACATACTTTAGTGAGTGTATATTTTCGGAAAGCAGAAAATAAGAAAAATGACGTCTCAAATGAAATGTAGATGAGAAGCCATCTTGTTAGAACTTACTTGAACTTACACACTTTTATTAAACGCACACTATATTTATTTATTTTTTCTCTAGAGAAAGCATGCTTGAACCCATTTGGATACAAAATAAAATTTCTCACTATTTATAATCAACGTATAATGCCTTACGGTCATAAATACTTCCTTACGGTCATAAATACTTCCTTAATAATCAGTAGTTCCACAAGGTTGGGGAAAGGGGCACTGATCGGAATTAAATGACCAAGCAAAGGTTAATATGGTAACTTCATATTTAATGTTGAGTTACGCGTTCATGTTGTTAGGCTTTTGGCAGACAGAAGCGAAACAGAGGCCGAGAGCGAGCGAGATAGAGAGAGAAAGCGAGGAGCGAGAGGGAGAGAGGGCCAACAGCGAGGAAGAGAGAGTGCAGAAGGGAAGCGCGAGCGAGAGAGAAAATCAGAGGGAAAATAGTTGCAGAGGATCTTCTTCTTTCTCGTTCAGGGAGGATAAAAGGTCCGCCATTGTTACCCCTCTGCAACAACATTTCCCATGTGAGAGACCTTCTTCCATTTCCTCCTCATACACCAGATACAGTTTTATAACCGCGATTTCCGTACAGTCGGAGCGACATTGTCGTCCTCTTACATGCGTGCTGCTGCAGCTCTGAAATTTGAAAAACCGATAATTTGGGCACACATTGGTGGATTTTCTTCGTACGGTTCCCTCTGAAGAGAAGAATCCATGGTTTTTTCGGCATTGGGTCGTGGCCGTTGCTGAGGGATTCTAGGGTTTTGGGAGCTCGGCCTCGGATCTGAATCTAATCAGATTTTTCGTCCGCAATGGTATCTTTCTCTCATTTTCTTGGTCACCAAGTTTTTGAATTTTCTCTCTATAATAATTTAAATTTTGAACAATTTGCTGCTTTTGCAATTTAATTTCTTAATCCTAGGTCAATGCATTGATGTTTTCTGAATGCGACTTGATTCTCGCTCAGTTAAGCTGAAACGGGCGTTATTTTATTGCTTCAGTGAGCTAACATGGGGTAGGAACTGTTTGATTATAGTTTATGGCAGTTAAAATTTCGGAAATGTTTGTTATTTTATCGTGGTCAACCAAAATTAAGATATGTAGATGTATTGAAATTAGCTGTTTTTCTGAGTAATTTAGTGTAAACTAGGAGAGGAGATAGTCGGGCTAGAAATATTTTACTGAAGGAATGACTTTTCGCCATGATAACGCTACTAGCTTTTCTCGACATAATTGGCGTAAAAGAGAGCTGCATTGTTGCCATTGCAGGAGTTCGAATTGCATTAACCTACCAGCCATGAAGCAAAGGTTAATGCAAGCGATCAAAAATCTCAGTCATGAAGTGAAGTTAATGCAAGCCAGAATTGTGACATTATGACAGTAAATGGATGTCTGGCTTGAAACACTAACGCTACTCCCTAGCATGCTTCATGTGTCCTAAGGCAGTGCCTTATGGATTCATTTGGATGGAATATTTATCAATAAGAAAAATAAAATATTGAGTCTCTTTTTACAACATGTTTAGTGGTTCACTCATTCTTACCTTGACAATTGAAAAGATTATGATTCTAAAAGATCTTCTAAAACTGTAAATCCACCTTTTATCCATATGCATGGATGCTATCAATGCTACACCAGAAGTGCATCCAGCATTTAGATTTCCTGGATAAGGCGTGTGATGCTTCCTTCAATTAGAATGCGATTCTTAAGTATCTCAAATGCAATGTATGCTAAATGAGGAACACATCACAGTTTTGTTGTAGAATCTTATTTTGAGTTCAGAATTATAATTGTATCACAACTGTCTAATCCTTGATTTTCATGTCTGATGTGTATCGATTTCTTGGTGATTTTAAAATTAAAGATCTGGCTTGCTCTTTCTTATGGACGTGCTAATTATTTCATTGTCCACACAGGCTGCCAATGTCAATTTGGCAGTAGGATCTCATGTTTGGGTTGAGGATTCTGAGGAAGCCTGGATTGATGGCGAAGTTGTAGGAGTCAATGATGAAGAGATTGAAATAAACTGTACATCAGGGAAGACGGTCAGTGCTGCTTTTGTTTTCCAAATCCTTTTGAGCCTTGCTTCTGCTTTTGTTAGCTGTATAATAGCTATTTATAACTTAATGTTGAACTTCAGTATGACATTGTTTAGCACCAAAAAAATGTAAATGAAGAAGTATCACATAGAGGACTTAAAAGACCTATCATGTTGGTAGGAAAAATGATACCGAATAATGTTAAAAGCACTTACTAGATTGGTAGAATGTTTTAGGGTCATAATATATCCACTTCAAATCAAATAATGTTCTCTGTTGATTGAATAATGACACAATTTTCATTTGATTGCATGTATTTCCTGTTCCTCAATTTACGTTTCCTTTGACACAGACAGAGCCATCATATTTATTGCATATATATATATGCATGAAAACTAGTGACTGATTATCCTCGTGTATTATTGAATATCATGATCATCTCATCGACTATTTTTTCCCCTTTTGTTGTAGGTTACAGCCAAAGCATCCAGCGTCTACCCAAAGGATCCTGAATTTCCTCAATGTGGTGTAGATGATATGACTAAGTTGGCTTATCTGCATGAACCAGGGGTTTTGCAGAATTTAAAAAGTCGATACTGTGTAAACGAAATATATGTGAGTACTACCCAGACATACCCCCGCTTTGTTGACCGATTGGTAGATTTGTTTTAGTTTAAATCCTTTTGAACTCAAATATATGTGAATTCCTTAAGGTCATCTATGCCATTTATTTGCCAAAATTGCATTCTCTTCACCTCTCAGCTATGGTTTTTAAACATGGATAATCTATTAACTTTTTGTGCACAGTCAGTACTGTGATTGACAATTTCATTTTCAAAGGTATAACTTTGATTGCAGACAGAGCTAAACTCCGTAGTTGTGTTTCCAGACTTATACAGGAAGTATATTGATAGCTGTGAACCCCTTCCGGAGACTACCTCATTTATATGATAATCATATGATGGAACAGTATAAAGGTGTGGCTTTAGGTGAGCTGAGCCCACACCCTTTTGCTATTGCTGATGCTGCCTATAGGTACTTTGTTGAACTTTGCCATTTGCTTCACCTTTTGACTGTGTGGTGCAACTTCAATAAATTTTTATTTATTTTTTAATGCAGACAGATGATTAACGAGGGAATAAGCCAGGCAATTTTGGTCAGTGGGGAAAGTGGAGCTGGGAAAACAGAGAGTACAAAGATGCTTATGCGTTATCTTGCCTATATGGGTGGAAGAGCTGTATCGGAGGGGCGGTCTGTGGAACAGCAAGTATTGGAGGTAACAAGTTTATGATGTTCTTACGCATCCAGTTGGAACTAGCATTACAGTTCTATTTTTGTTGTCATCTGAGATGTCTATTATTCATGACTTTTCTTTGGGAAGTGACTTGCGCTAGTAAAAAAATCCATTTCTTCACTTATTTTTTATGTTATTATTATTGGCAGTCTAACCCTGTTCTTGAAGCATTTGGTAATGCAAAGACTGTCCGAAACAATAATTCCAGGTGGGAACCTGTTTCCTTTTTCTTCTACCAGGATTACTATTAAAAATTATCTTTTTATAAGTCTGATGGGATGTCTAATCTGATGGGATATCTAATCTTACAGTGGAAGGTTATTATTGAGAGCAGTTTGTATATCTTTCTGTTGTATCTTCTAGTCAATTGGGTTAATTTCCCACTCTGATTGAGCTTAACATAACTGCAGTCGTTTTGGTAAGTTCGTGGAGATTCAGTTTGATCAAACAGGGAGAATCTCAGGAGCTGCCATTAGAACTTATTTATTGGAGCGATCCAGAGTTTGTCAAGTATCTGATCCAGAGAGAAATTACCATTGCTTTTATATGCTCTGTTCTGCACCTCCAGAGGTGAAATGATCTCCTATACACATACAATGTATTCTTCATATGGTCTGGTTCTATAATAGAAAGCCATGATTAATTGTTCTTTGGCTAAAAAGTAAATACTTAGAATTAGAAAAACCAGAAAATCACTGGATAATATAGATCCTAATTGTATTAACTAAGTTATCCTACTACTCAGTGCTCACTATTCCAAAATTGATATGGATTTCTAGTTTGTTACTAGCTGTTTGGTGCGTTCATGTGAACTTTTTGTTGCTGGTAGTGTCACTCCGAGTCATTTAGAGTGGGAGTTTCGTTTGAAATAATTAAACCTAAGAACAGTTCATTATCAAAATGACATGACTAGTTCTTCATATAAATTTAACATTTGCATGTTTTTTGTGCCCACATTCAGGATTTTGAGAAGTACAAATTGGGAAATCCAAGAACATTTCATTATTTAAATCAGTCCAACTGCTATGAGCTGGATGGGGTGGACGATTCAGAGGAGTATCTCACAACTAGGAAAGCTATGGATGTGGTTGGGATCAGTTCTGAGGAGCAGGTATGTCACTGGATTGCTTATGAACATTAAATATTCTATCAAATATCTTGACTTTTGTTCTGCTTTTTTTAGGATGGAATATTTCGAGTTGTAGCTGCAATACTTCATTTAGGCAACGTTAACTTTGCAAAGGGGAATGAATCTGATTCTTCTGAACCCAAGGATGATAACTCTCGGTTCCATCTCAAAACTGCTGCTGAACTATTCATGTTTGTGTCCATTACTTTATATGTTTTTTTTTTTTTGGTAAATATCCACATGTGGTTTTTGATGTTTTCTTAAGTAAATGGCTGAGCTTTTGTCTACAATCTATGTTAGGTGTGATGAGCAATCTCTTGAAGATTCTCTGTGCAAACGTGTGATGGTGACCCGTGATGAGACCATAAAGAAAAGCTTAGATCCAGATTCTGCAGCCATCAGTAGAGATGCATTGGCCAAAATTGTTTATTCAAGGTTATTTGATTGGTAGGAATATACTAGTTAGTTCATTGTTCAGCAAAAAATATTCTGCATTGATATAATCTAGTTCTTAATGTTTTCCTAATGTGGTGAACTAATTGCCCCAGGCTTGTGAACAAGATAAACAACACTATTGGTCAGGATCCTGATTCAAAATATTTGATTGGAGTTCTGGATATTTATGGATTCGAGAGTTTCAAGACAAACAGGTGCTTAACTGGTATGCTTTATTTTCATCGTTTAAAAGGTTAAATTATTGCAGAGGACTGCATCGATTCCTTCTGTTTTTTGGATTGGGATCTTGATCGAGAAAGTTCTCCCTTTGTGGCTGTATGATGCCATTTAAATCCAGAGATTTTTTTTTCTTTACGCCAAAATCCTGAACAATGTTTGAAGTGTTTTATTTGTGCAGTCACATCTGGTTCAGAAAACTTTCAACTGATATTACAGCCTTTGCTTCTAATAATGTTCCAAGTGTTTTATTCATGCTATCACATCTGGTTCAGAAAGCTTTAAACTGATATCACAGCCTTTTCTTCTATGCATTATCTACTCATGCAAAAATTAACTGCCCACACATTTCTGTGACAGCTCTGTTCTTTATCACTTCTTAGGTTGGCCTGGTTGCTTTTTTTATATTCTTGAGTTCACTTCTCGTGTTTAATTTCAAAACCGTTAACTGATGTGCAGCTTCGAGCAATTTTGTATCAATTTGACAAATGAAAAATTGCAGCAGCATTTCAACCAGGTGTGGGAATGGATACATAATAAGTATTCTTTGGTATTCTTGGATCCTCCAGACTACTCTCATTTAATCAATTAAGTGTCAACATTCTGCTTGACAGCATGTGTTCAAGATGGAGCAAGAAGAATATACTAAAGAAGAAATTGATTGGAGTTACATAGAGTTCATCGATAATCAGGATGTTCTTGATCTCATTGAAAAGGTATGCCAGTTTTCAATAATTTTAATTAAGGTCTGCTCATTTCTTTGAATTAAACATATTATTTATTTGCTTGCAATATCGTGTTTTTCTTTCTTTCTGATATATGCTTTTATTATTTCAGAAGCCCGGTGGCATCATTGCTCTTCTGGATGAGGCTTGGTATGCACTGGAATATAAAAATTAATACGATACCCCCTCCGTCCTCCTTAGATACCAACTTGTTGACTATTTACTAGGAAATATTTTGATCTATTTCTTGTGATTTGGTGACAAGCTTATGTTATTCTTTGTAGTATGTTCCCGAGATCAACCCACGAAACATTTTCACAGAAGCTTTATCAAACTTTTAAAGACCATAAACGTTTTAACAAGCCAAAATTGTCGCCTACCGACTTTACCATTTGCCATTATGCCGGTGATGTAAGTTTTGAATTCAACCCTAACCTCTTGTACAAACTGCATCAGACTAATCAAATCCTACCATGGAGAAGTTATCAACTTGCTTGATATTTATGTCGTTGGAAAATTTGGTTTTCAGGTTACTTATCAAACAGAGTTCTTCCTGGATAAGAACAAAGATTATGTTGTTGCAGAGCATCAAGCACTCCTTAGTGCCTCCAAATGCCCTTTTGTTTCAGGCTTGTTCCCTCCTTTACCCGAAGAATCTGCCAAACAATCAAAGTTCTCATCAATAGGTTCTCGATTCAAGGTCCCTTTCTGTTCCAAATTTCTAATTAAGCTTATGCTCACTGATCAATTAAATTTTGTTTATGTTCCTTTTGTTTTTATTCTTTATCGTCTTCTTGAACAGCAACAACTGCAATCATTGCTTGAAACGCTAAGTGCCATTGAGCCTCACTACATACGCTGTGTAAAGCCAAATAATCAACTCAAACCTGCCATATTTGAAAATACCGCTGTTTTACAGCAGCTTTGCTGTGGGGTAAGCATATTGTGTAGTCCCAAAAAGAAAAAAAATCTTACCAGTTACGCCTTGCACAATAATGCAACCTGAATTGTTATGTATCTAATCCCAGGGAGTAATGGAGGCAATTCGGATTAGTTGTGCTGGATATCCAACTAGAAAGACCTTTGGAGAATTTACAAGTCGTTTTAAAATTCTGGCACCTGAGGTTCTAAATGGAAGGTAGTTTCACCAAATTCTCTGAACATCAATTAATCTCTCTCTCTCTCTATGTATATATGTGTGTGTGTGTGTGTATTCTTGATTTCATGCATTTGTAAGTGGGCTATATATATGTATATGTATATTCTTCGCTTTCATGCATCTGTAAGGTAATCTAGACTCTGGGCTTTTCTGTAATGCTTTGATGCATGTTGCTGTCTATTGGTGACCAGAACTTATCCCACAATTCCCAACCTGCATTAATGGACTATCGATCTATCTATTTATCTTTCTGGAACATCATTGATGTCTCCGCCAATTGATCCCATTGACTACGTGTTGTAGTTAACACAATGAAATGAATGTACTGTATGTGCACTACCCATGTAGAACTTCGTGGGTGTCCTGCAACAGTTGATTGCATTGACCGCACAATGAACTCAACATGATTAATGTTCTATATATTTACTACAAAGATTTATGCAACACTGCTACAACTATGTATCTATGTTGTTGTCTGTTTTTCATTTTTATGGGTGTTTTTTGATGTTGTACAAGAGTAATGGACTACATATGCATCACAAACTATAACAGTTTTATGGTTGCGGGAAAACAAGTTTTTTGAAAACTATATTGGTATGGAAGAGTTGCAGGGTAAAGTTAGTTTTGAATCATCACTTTGGGCTTCAATATATTTGGAATTTCAACATTTATCTTGTCTAGAAGCTCTCACTAGTTCGAAAACAACTGATCTGTGATACTCTAATATCTTTGGACTTAAGGTCCTGTTTTATGGAGACAATTCTATTGTTTTGTAGGCTAGTTTTCATCGTTGTTTTTTTTAGTGTCAGAATTTCTTCTTCTTGTTTTTATGTAAAACTTCTGTTAACTTTCTTAGTTCATTATTTTCAGCGTTGATGAGGTCACTGCATGCAAGAAGCTCTTACAAAAGGTCAACCTCAAGGGATATCAGGTATTTCAAACAGTTCTGTTTCTTTCACACTGTTATCTGGAGCTAAAGTTAGATGTTATCATATTTTTTTAAATGGTTAAATGATTAAGTGGGAACTCATTATATTTCCACTCCAGTAGTTGTTTATCTGCATACATTTGCTTAAAATGGACGGCAGTTTTTCTTGTCACGTAAGACCAAGCTACTGCACTACAATTGGAAAATCTACTTTTTCAGGAGTCAAGCTGCTTTGTATCACCGATCATTACATGATCCTGACCTATAATCTTTTGTAGGGTTAACAAGGCCAATATTTCTGATATGTTCCTGTTGCAGGTTGGGAAAACAAAAGTGTTCCTCAGGGCTGGTCAGATGGCAGAACTAGATGCATATAGAAGTGAGTTATTGGGAAGATCGGCTAGCGTTATCCAGAGAAAAGTTCGCTCCTACCTATGTCGCAAAAAATTTGTCTTGTTGCGGTTGTCTGCCATCCAAATCCAAGGCTTATGTAGAGGTAAGCAAGAATTTTCACCTTGTGCTTCTAGGAGATTTGTTGCCTTATAGCCCAAGATCTGTTACTAAAACTTTTGTTTTCTTTGACTGATTGCAGGACAAGTTGCACGCCAACGATATGAAAACATGAGAAGGGAAGCTGCTTCTGTGATTATTCAGAAATATGGTCGCTCGTATCTTTCTAGGAATGGTTATAAAAACTTGTGCTCTTCAGCTGTTTGTATTCAAATTGGTATGCGAGGGTTGGCTGCTCGTAAGGAGCTTAGTTCCAGGAAGAAAACAAGGGCTGCAACAGTGATACAGGTGAAGATTACTTTTCTAGTATAGCAATGATTTCTGATATTTTCGGGGTTTCTTCATTTGCTGAATATCTGAATACAATTTCTTTATCTTTTTCTTGTACAATATAAGGAAATGTGTTATAAAAAAGCTTATCAAAATGAATAAATTTTATTGATTTGTTTTGTTTCCCAAATTCATGTGATAGAGAAGAGAAATCTCTATTGAGAGAGAGGCTATCAAAAGAGAAAACCAAACGTACCAGATCCTGATCCGGAAATTTATATTTTAGGTTTTCTTTAGTTTATGGCCGGTCGTTGTAGTTCTTTGTTGGTTTTATTTTGTAGTCTCTTTTATGCTTTTATTGTTTTACCCATTGATTCAGAATATTATTACAGAGTCATTGCCGGAAACACTTAGCACATGCTCGTTATTTGAGGATGAAGAAAGCAGCTATTTCCATACAATGTGGTTGGAGACGAGTAGTTGCTCGTAGAGAGTTGCGGAAGCTAAAGATGGTGATACCTTCTTTCTTTCTTCTGAATTTTTCAGTGTTTGATTTTCTCCGCTTACTCTTTTGACGCCTTGTCTTACCTTTGTGGGTCTGCTTGTTAATTTCGTTTCCATATGTTGCAATCTGGCGGTATTTTCTCATGGTGTCTTGTGCTTTATGAATTTCTATGTTATTTGTCTTTAACAAGCTTTTGTCTTGCCTATGATCCACTTCCGCAATCTGGTTAAATTTGTTGGTTTTCATTGAAGGGTGAAAATTTTATTTAGTTTACTAATTTAGCTAGCTTGCTACAAGAGTAGGTAACTGTAGTTTGATCAATGATCATGCTCCGCTGTCAATAATGTTCTCTCTAGCACTTGTGTATGTTTTCTTTTGCCAAGTTCTATTTTTCTACTGTTTAATTCTCAACCTAAAACACCTCAAGATCTTGACTCAGTTTCTATGCTTCTTTGGCCTTGTTCGAAACACAATGGAATTCAAATTTCAGTTCATTTGGTGGTTTGAGTCCACAACTTTGTTATATATACATTTATATTTTGTGTTTGAAATAACAAAGTATAGAACTCAATTGAAAAGGCTAAAAAACTGGCGATTTCTTTAACAAGAAGAAACAAAGCTAAACATGTCTGATCTGGTTTTATGGACTTCCTTTATCTTGTGTAAGTGATGGGTTCCACCATCTAGAAGACTCATACTAAAAAATAGTATCAATAAATGAAAATCATGGTCAAGTCTGCTCCATTAAACCAGCCCGATCTGTCTCTCTCTGGTATCATATTTGAAATTTTGTTCCAAACCAATGTACAGTGGTTTCAAACAGAGTGTATATGCAAAATGAGCATTATATTTTTTAATTAACTTGTCTTTTTCTGCAGGCTGCTAAGGAAACTGGTGCTCTCCAAGAAGCCAAAAATAAGTTGGAAAAGGAAGTTGAAGAGCTAACCTGGCGCCTGCAACTGGAGAAGCGAATGAGGGTAATGATCCCTATCTTCTCTGTAATATGTTAATGCATACTATCCTACATAGCTACGTCGACTGCAATCATCTAATCAATATTTGAAGGATATGCCAATCAGCTAAGGTTACCCACAAAAAAAACTATGGTGATATGATTTCCTGGTGAATACTCCAATCTTTTCCACTTGATAAAGTTTTCCTCATGTACGTTCCTTTGGAATGTTTGATCTAAGGTTGTAAGCCTGCAAAAGCATTCTGTATGTAGGCTGAAGAAGAATTGTGTTTTTATGTTTTCTGCTCGGAGTTCTCTATGAAATTTGGTTGATGCAGTAACAACTTTTTAGTTAGAAAAAAAAAAGTACTCTTCGAAAGGATTAGTACTAAACCATCTTTCCAAGTCTAACAATAAAGCTTATTTGGTTCAAATAATAATCATACTGCAAGAGTCTATCAATAACAAATCTATTTTTATACTCTCTTCTCCTCTCTATTTTATCGTCTCTCAGATTAAGTTTTTTATCTTCCTATTCTGTAAACCTCTTATATTTGTTCGCATTTCTACCATCAAAGGCCACCAAAGATCATAGGTTCACCATCTTGTGTACTGTCCTATATCATTGGTTCACCATGTACCTTTGGTTTGAATTGTTATTTATACATCCATTTGGATCCTTCTTGATTAAGGATCTTAGTTTGACAAGAAGCACAAGAGCAATAAATATATTTTGACTTCTATATATCAAGTCTGAAAAAAATATGGTATATGCATAACAAGAGAGGGATTCTTTAAATGCAGGCTGACATGGAAGAGGCCAAAACAAAGGAAAATGCGAAGTTGCAGTCTGCTTTGAAAGAGATGCAACTCGAATTTCAAGAAACTAAATCCCTGCTTATGAAGGAACGTGAGGCTGCAGCAAAAGCATCAGAGGAGGCAGCAAAAGCGGCTGAGGCTGCAGCAAAAGTAGCTGAACAACTGCCAGTCGTACAGGAGATTTCAGTTGTGGATCAGGAAATAGTCAATAAGCTTACTGCCGAAAATGAGCAGCTTAAGGTAAAGGCACTGAAACTCTCATATGCTTTTTCGGTTTTAGTATTTCAGGTATATAAAGTGATTAGTTTGTGATTGCTTTCAAGTACACAATTGTCTGAGGTTTTTTTGCCTTGTTTCTTTTTTCTTAATGATTTTTAGCTCTGATCTTTCAGGCCCTGGTAGATTCACTGGAAAAGAAGATTGATGAAACAGAGAAAAAGTTTGAAGAAACAAGTAGGCTTAGTGAACAGCGGCTCAAGCAGGCTACGGAGGCAGAATCGAAGATAATTGATTTGAAGACTGCCATGCAGAGGTTCTTTCTCGACTTCTGTCAAATTGGATTAGGATGCATCACTGATTATTACTCAGTCAATTAATTGAATAGTTAATTTATATGCTTAATTGTGCTTTGTTATTCTAATATAGTTTGTTGCCTGTATCATTCCTCAGGCTAGAAGAAAAACTTTCTGACATGGAAACCGAGGACCATATTTTGCGTCAGCAAGCATTAAAGATGTCAGCTTCTATGAAAATGTCAGAGCATTTGGCTGGAGCACCAGCTCAGGTAGGCTTCCCACAAGAATGTTTTTTTTTTTTTTTTGCATTGGTCCTGCTAAGAACATTTTATTGATTTTTGTTTCTCCCCCTATAATTGCAGCCTTTGGGGAATGGTCATCATGTAAGTGAATAATTTAAATCAAGTGTTGTTTACCATAGCTGTTTATTTGTTGTTCTTTGTACGATCCTAAGGTTTGATTTAATGTAGGAACCACTGAGAACTACACCGTCCAAGAAATTTGGCTCAGAGTCTTTCAGGAGATCCCAAATTGAAAGGCAACATGTATGTATTTGAGAAGCAAGTCATTCTTTCCAATTTGTTGATTTTCTTTTATTTGGTTTTACTCTTATCTATTTTATTTTTTCTTTACTTTTTCTCTTGAAGCTTATTCTGCTTCTGTATTATTCATCTATGTGGTGCAGGAGGGTGTAGATACTCTTATGAAATTAGTGACAGGTAATCTTGGATTCAGTGAAGGAAAGCCAGTTGCAGCAATAACAACATACAAATGTCTTCTGCACTGGAGATTATTTGAAGCGGAAAAAACTAGTGTATTTGACCGACTTATTCAGATAATTGGTTCTGCAATTGAGGTAAATTAATATCCATTATAAATTTTGTTTTACTAATGTATTAGAACTGAACCAGTCATCAAAGCAGATAGGGGGTTAGACCCTTTCACAACTCTGTTGCATTGAACTTTTTTGACAAGACTTCTATGCTAACTGATGAGTGTATTTGATCATGAATTCTAATTTAATTTGGGGGGGGGGGTGCTTTCCCTCAGTGATTTCTTTGGGTTACTATCAATTACTTGAATCTGAATACGAACTGTTGAATTTTGTATAGCACACAGGAAACTCTCTAAAGATGTGTCCACATATTCATGAAGGACCACTATTTATTTAAGTGGATAACCACATATTTATAGTGGTTAACCAAATCAATAAAATAAAAGCTTTTGAAGCTATCAAGAGAAAACAAGATTTGGTTTTTTAAGAAATGCAGGGGTCCAAAGCAATTTGGGACTTTATGCTGCACTGTTTTCGGAACTTGAGTTTGATGACATGTTTCTTTACAGGACCAGGATAACAATGATCATATGGCTTATTGGCTTTCCAATACATCTACATTGTTGTTCTTGCTCCAGCGGAGTTTAAGAACTGCTCCACGAAAGCCTCCTACCCCTACATCTTTATTTGGAAGGATGACCCAAGTAATGAAATCTATTTTATTCATGTATCATTTTGATTTTTTTTTTCTGGGTATATGATTTCTTTCTTCTTGTGCCTGTTGTCATATGATGTTCTTGCTTTGTAGGGCTTCCGATCTTCTTCTGCCAATCTTTCAGTTGGTGCTTCTGATTTAGTACGTCAGGTTGAGGCCAAGTATCCAGCTTTGCTCTTTAAGCAGCAACTTACAGCATATGTAGAAAAGATATATGGAATCGTCCGAGACAATTTGAAGAAGGAATTGTCACTTCATCTTTCTTCTTGCATCCAGGTACAATGAAGTTTGGCATTACACCATTGGAACTTGGCATGAGTTTTTAGCAGTTCTTACATCCTTTTAAGTCCTAGGATGGAATAGTAATTGCTTTCAGCTTTAATTTCTCCTGTTAACTTTTGCTATACTCCTGGATTCATACCTTCTAGAAGTAGGCATGTGATTTAAATGCTAGTGTGAAGATTACCTCTGGTCATTTTCATAAATTTTTGCCAAGGGCAGGAAATTTTTACCATATGCTATGTTAACACGGATGCCTTCTATACTGGTTTGGTTAGGTTTGTGATTCATTTTGTTGGTGAGAATGCAAGTTAGGTAATGTGGTTGATGTCTCAAAAATTTGGTTGCCAAGAATTAGCTTTGATTGATGAATCATTGAGGTTAAATATGCTAGAGATCTCTTACATGAAACATTTCAGTTTATTATATTTTATGGTATCATTTAATTAAGTTGGGTCATGTGTTTCCTTGATGATTCAGGCACCCAAAACGGCAAAAGGTGGTGTTTCAAAATCACCTGAAGGATCAACTGGGAACAGTCCTCGGGCTAATCCTTGGAATAGCATCATCGCAAATCTTAATGGGTTTCTCACTACATTTAAAGAAAATTGTGTAAGCAATATTCATGACACTTTTAAGGTGGTTAGTATCCCCTTGCGGCATTTTAATCCAATGAATGACCTTCTTTCAGGTGCCTCCAATTATTGTTCAGAAGATATTTACTCAAATGTTCTCATACATCAATGTACAGATTTTTAATAGGTAAGTTACTCTCTTATATTTGTCAATAAATATTACAAAAATTAAATATGACCTGGTTAACTTGTGGCTGATTTATTGCTTGATTCTGCTGCAGCCTTCTTCTTCGTCGAGAGTGCTGCACCTTCAGCAATGGCCAATATGTGAAGAATGGGCTAGCTGAATTGGAGCTATGGTGTAGCCTAGCAAAAGAAGAGGTACTGTTTTAAACTTACCAGCAGTGAAAGGTTAATTTTCAATTTTTTTAAGTCCCTACAATCCTCCCTGCCTTCCATCTTGAAAATAGTTTTGGTTGTTCCATCATTCTTTCTTTTGATCATTTCTGGTTGACGTTTCATCTCATTGCAGTATGCTGCCTCATCATGGGATGAACTCAAATATGTTAGGCAGGCTGTAGGATTCTTGGTACGTTTCTCGGTTGTGTTGCTTCTGATGGTTCTTGTTGGTAGTTGTTGTACAATTCACACCAACTGGTATTTAATATTTATGCAAAGACTGGAAATATTAATAACCATTTATTATTTAAATCTTTATGCTTTGTTATTAAAAATATAAGGATTATGAAAATAAAAATATTTCTTATTCATCAAGAGGAATATAAGACCAGATAAGGAAGAAATGTGACAATGTTATGAATTTTGTAACTGTTAACATCGTTATACTCAAATACAGCAGATGGAGCAATTGTGTTAACTCTAGAGAGTTAAAATTGGCATGGATTTCCCTTTCTTGCTTATCTCCCATCACAGATTTGTATAATGTGTTTTGCATTGCTTGTCAACTTGTAGGTTGTATGCATTTGAATTGTTCCAAAGTATCCAAACTTTGATTTTTCATTGTGCAAGTAGCAACATTTCTGACACTCATTTATTTAAGGAATGAAGGATTGCTTTTGTCGAATTTTCTCTATATTTTTGAAATTGAAATGTGGAGAAATGTAGTCACCTTATTTCATGATTACGTTTTCCTGTACAAAGATGGTTATTAATTAAATTAATGGGCACCGTACTGAATTCAAATTGGAAATTCATCTGCTAATCTATTTTCATTTGGTTGTTAGCTAGTTCTGAACTGAAGACTTATTTGATCTCTGCAGGTTCTACACCAAAAGTCCAGAATCTCCTATGATGAACTAACAAATGACCTATGCCCTGTAAGTCTCTCTGTGAAACTGGAAGATGAAATGAATTTTTTGTCCGCATCTGGTTGAAGCTGTGGATTCCTGTTAATAGACTTCGGTTCATTTACAAATAAATTTGATTTTCTTGTTTGCACTGTCTCTAGCTCATTTATGCTTCTCTCTTCAGGTCTTGAGTGTTCAACAACTTCATAGAGTATGCACACTATTTTTGGATGATGATTACAACACGCAAAGTGTTTCCCCTGATGTGAGTTGAGAAAACTGAAAATTTGATTGGAAACTGCAAAGCTTAATCATAATAGTCTGACATAGTGAAACTGCTTTCCTTTTGCAGGTCATTTCCAGCATGAACTTTCTAATGACAGATGACTCCAGCAGTGATGATAGCAGCTCCTTCTTGCTGGATGACAATTCCAGGTTAGGAAGTCTCTTTTCTTTGTTTTATTTCCGTTTATGAATGCTGATGTTGGAAACTTCTACTAACCATGCTTTGTGAATGCAGCATTCCTTTTTCAATTGAAGATATATCGAGTTCCATGCAAGACCAGAGCTATTCAGATGTAAAACCTCCCACAGAACTTTCGGAGAATCCAGACTTCCAATTTTTACAGGAGTAAGGCAGTCACTTCCACAATCTTCCTCTTTGTGGTACACGTTTTTGACAAGGATTTAACCGAAGCTTCAATTCTTTCAACTCCTGTAAATCCGCCCCAAATTTTTCGCCACTTCAGGTGCTTTTCTTCATTGTAACTTCCATTGACCTGGGTGTGGTATTCTTATTTCCAGTTAGAATTGTAAACTTATATTAGGCTGGTTGGGATAGGTAAAGGGGCAGGATAGGTTTCAGAGTTCGCTTTCATTTTGTAATTCGACATCGAGGGAGCATTCTTTATAGGGATGGTAGCAGGGAAGAACAGTTTGGTGGGAGTGATCTCAAAACTACTGCTCCTGCCCCGAATCTTCATTTGTACAAAGTGGTAGAATGTACTACGGTACAAGGTAAATATAGTGGATTTGCCTGATTGCTTTGAACAAAACCTGTTGCAGGCACATCTGTTTGATTGAACTGTTACTGTGGATTTGATGTATGTACAGATCAGTGATGTTCTCTTCGTCCTATGGAGACCAAGGAATATGGTCACTCGTCTTTAAAGTTTACATCAAGGATGAAGAATACATGAATGCGCTTTTAGTGTTTTTAATATGAATGCTTGATATCAATTCCAATGATTGATACCATGATTCCTTAGATTTCAAATCAAGTGTTTTAGAGAACGGAGCTCATACGGAATCTACAAGTTTTGAATTGTAAACTCATTTTTCAACGTTCTGTTCATATAACGTTTGGTCGCACACTTGTTTAGCTATGCGTTCTGTTCTGTAATTTTTGACATCATTGCTGCGTGGAGCATATAATGTTGCCAGTTTTGAGATCACAATGGATAACTAGAGGTGTACAACGGGTCAGGCTAGAACAAGCACTAGCCTAGCAGAGCAATAATACCAAATTTCACAAAATTCACATAAAGAGGATTTCTTGCGGGACACTTTTTGTAAACGGCTGCGTTTGACAATTACGAACTTTTAAATAACCAAGTCTACTTGGTACTACGGTCTGGTGTTATTTCTCTTCATTTGTAAATGAGATATTTCAAATCTAAATTTGGTAGATGACGAGTTCATACCAATTTGTTTCTCCAACCCCGTTTGTTCAGCCACACTTGGCATCCAACTTGTTTTGGGTAAATCTTAAACAAGAAGACAAATTTGTGTGTGTTGTAAATATAGATGTCCATTATTTGGTTTGAGTGGATGACATCATGCCCCTGTGAGCAATGTCATCATGCTTGTGTAAGCAATGATGTAATTACCTATTCATTTGTCCATATAATGACAGCCAAGGCCACTAGCAACAAAAAGAAAATTGAAGAGTAAAGAAAAATAGTAAAGGTTATCTTTTACTCCTATTATTTTAGATAACGAGAGAGTATTATTGCGGTCCCGAAGATGTAAGCATTCTTGCTGAACCTCGTAAATATTGTGTCTTATTTATTTTATATTCCGTTACTCATATATTCTCAATTTCACAACAGTGTGGATATGAATGTATTATTTTAAGTATTATTCTTATGGGTTGGTTCACCAATTTAATTATTTAGCTTCGAAGCACATGCTTTGGTAGAATTTCTTCAACAAAAGCAATTTGTTGACCAATTTCTGAACCCTAACTCCAAACCTCATGTGATCACATGTGTCCCCATGTAACTCGTATCAGATTCTCTCCCACAGAGGGAACAAATCTGACTCCAAATTAAAATACATATTCTGATACCATTTCAGTTATTACAGTTATGGAATTAGTTGCAATTTTTTTATCTGTATATTATAGTATTATTTTCTTAGATAATTAAGAAATTAGCTTAGGGGCATGAAACATGCGTGATGATCCGTTTTCTGGCTTATACATGAATCATATGGAATCAATGCTGATACTAATCTGATTTGGACCATTATGTTCTTGTATAATTTCATTAATATTTTTTTGGGTCAAACTAAAATTTCATTTACATAATATTAGATTACAAATTTACTATGGAGAGATTAATACTAGTTTTAGGGTTGGAGGGTCAACATGTGTTTGAACTCGAATGACTGCAATTTTTTTGGTCACGAACTCTACTATGGTGTACTATTTGATCTGGAGGCCAAAAGTACGCTGCACATCATGTGGTACCGAGTTGCATGAGGAGAAGAATTAGCCTTCTGTCAATGTTAGATTACTAAAGTTTCATTTGCATAATATTAGATTACAAATTTACTATGTAGAGATTAATACTAGTTTTAGGGTTGAAGGGTCAACCTGAGTTTGAACTCTAATGACTCAATTTTTTTGGCCACAAAATCTATTATGGTGTACTATTTGATAGGGAGGCCAAAAGTACACTGCATATCATGTGGCACCGAGTTGCATGAGGAGAAGAATTAGTCTTCCGTCAATGTAATGGGATACCTTTTTTAGTTAATAGGGGTGGACATAAAAACCGTAAAAGAGCAAAACTGAATTAATTAAAACCAAAAGCAAATAAAAGTTAAAAAATCTCATGACACAGAAATCCAAAATATAGAATCATGTCTATAATGGAAAAATAAAAGTACATCAATGCCACATAAAAAGGTCAATAACAATCATGCTACCAGTATATATTTCAAATCTTCTGCACCAAAAACTCTCTATGGTCTTTTTGTGACTTATCTATTTGAGTGGCACGTGCCTCTGTAAAAAACATAAAGAAGTGAAAATGTCTGAGATAATTGTTAATGGCACTCTAAAAATCTCATTCTACACTCCAAACTTTCCATATTTAAAAAAAAAAAAGAAAAAAAACTCTTGTAAGGAATGTAGAATGAGATTTTTGAAGTGCCAATAATATTTCTCATGTCTAAATTCAAAAATTGGTAGCATCCCTCGTATATATTCACAAACGAAAAACTTAATAATAAATTAGAAGAAACAAAAAAAAGAGACACTCAAGTTGCATGGATTGCACAAAATTTACAAAATGGAGATTTTACCACCACCTGTTTTACAACCCAATTAAAACAATGTCCGGCTTAAATTTTGAAGAATAGTTTTATCTGAACCCCAAATTTACTTGCACAACAATCGAATTTCATTCAACGTTTTGTAGTACGCTTTTAGGTGTAACAATAAAATCATAATCAAGAAACATTGTGCACATTACTCCATATTATCAGGCTGCAAAGCTTACACTTGTCCACTAATTATGACGATTTGCTAGGGTCTCTTTCCTCCTTGTTTGCTCGTTCGTAGGAGTTCGGACTCCGTCAAGAAGGAAAGAGTCGACTAAACATCTCAGTCAATGGTGGAAATTTCGCCAGCGTCTGATCCACAACTCTGTTTTTTTCCATCGCCCCCCATGGTTGTATTGGGTGAATTGCGACCAGGGTGGGGCAACTCTATTTTTCCATCGCCCCCGATGATTGTGTTGGGTGAATTGCGACTGCGAGGGAGGGGGGAACTTTATTTAGTTGTCCAGAGTTCAAAAGGAATATATGGCACCTCGAGAAATATTAAGGAGACTCTCTTAAAATAAGACTCTTCATTGGATTCTCTGCCATCTCACAGTTTAATGTCAATTTCGTGCCAACATTATAAAACATTATGCAAAAAATATGAAGTGACAGAGAGTCCATAAAAAATGCCACTTTTAAAGGAGTCTCCTTAAGAAACCTCTATCTTCATCATGTAAAGACTTGACAGATAGACATTATCACCTCACTTTATTCTACAATCACCTTATTCATTGTGGTTCCACATGGGTTGACTCTGTTGGAGAACAATTCAGAAATAAATAAACATAACAGAACTTGAAAATACTAAATTCTTTATTAACAAAATATACTTGCAATACAAAATGAAATAACATAAATAAATAAATATAAGAATTAAAATGATACTAACTTGATTGAATCACAGATAGAGGCTAGCGGTTCAGCTATGTCATTCGAACAGTATTTCCGTCCCACTCTTGTGCCTATGGTTCTACGATGTCTGCTTGATCAGGGCACAACTATCTAATTCTACAACCTGCACTGGATTATAGAATTTTGGCGAATTATTTTGTGTGTTTACTCTCTGAAAATTTTGTATGGAAGAGAAGGAGGAAGAAAGGATAAATTTTGTTTGGAAACTATGATTGCAAATATATAGGTTGTTTCACACCCTTTCAAATACCTGTTAAGCGTATTTGAAAATACACAACTCTTTCTAAGAGATGTGTCTCTTAATCAAAACGTTTTATTTTATTTTTAAATTAATATGTTAATTAAAAAACTTAATCTGAAATTAAAATTAATGAACTTTGATTAATTTTAACTTCCAAGGCCCCAAGTGCCGCAACGCCCTTATCTTGATTAATTAATATTAATTGTATTAGGCTATATTATACAAACCTAATCCACACAATCATAAGACCCAAACCTTTAATCATTTTCCAAATGGTCCAAATCTTAACTACTAGTATCAAGGACTGGGCCTATATAAAGGCCTTTGAGAACTCAATGTTTCCGGATGTGGGACAATAAAGGTCTCAAAACTCCGACAATACCCCACATTTTTTAGACGACTATTTGGTCCTAGAGAAACTAAGATACGAGAGTAAACAATAGATGTGACATACATTAGGAGATGTGTCTTTTGGACTTGAACCTACCTTAGTATATACTTATCAGATTTACTAGATGACGCAGTGAATATAAAATCTTGAACTGTTCATCTCCACAGTAAACCAAGACAATAAACAAAACATATGGCACGCCAATACATCACAAATTCATACGTTTGTGTTCTTTTTAGTCCTGAACAAATCCTGGATTCATGAGAGCTTTAGAGAACGTAACCATATAATTGTCATAAATGCAACCCCACATTTACTCTCATATAGGTGATATTGATTAAGAAGAGGCTGCCACTAATCCACTTGATTTACAAGTATCAATATCATTAAACTAATGTATCCTACACCCATCAGCAACCGCCACACTTCTTCCATCGTAGGAATGGGTATGTAAGTGTGTTTCTTCTTTGAATCTAGCCAAAGCAGTTTGCCTATTAAACCTAGACCATGGGATCTCCAATCAACTAGGTTAGGTTTTTGTTTGCCAGTTTCATTTTACTCTATTGACTTTAAACCCATTGCCCTCGATGTATGGTTAACTTGCTCTCTAGACAAACCTTTAGTAAGCGGATCCACAATATTATATTTTGACTTAACATAGTCAATACAAATTACACCACTAGAGAGCCATGTCTAATTTGTCTAGACTTCCCATTGTATACTCTGTTTTTAGCTCGATATTGTGTAGCTAAACTATCACAGTGTATACGTATTTTCGTTATAGGTTTAGGCCATATGGGAACATCTTCCAAAAAATCTCTTAGCCACTCAGCTTTTTCTCTAGCCTTATCGAGAGCTATATATTCTGATTCCATCGTTGATTGGGGCTATGCACGTTTGTTTGGAAGATTTCTAAGATATTGCTGCTCCTCCCAAAGTAAATACATATCCAATTGTGGATTTTGTATCAGTACTATTGGATATCCAATTCACATCAGTAAATCCTTCAAGCAGAGGAGGATACCCCATATAATGCAATCCATAATTCAATACTCAAATTAAAGTTTCCCAATGATCATGCCTCGGGTTGCATGTTTATCTACTTAGTTTACTCACTGAGTATGCTATATCAGGCCTTGTATAGTTCATAATGTGCATAAGGCTTCCAATAACTTGTGAATATTCACGTTGAGATATAGCATCACCACTATTTTTCTTTAGTTTGCTAT